GATGGTACATAGTGAAAATTTTGACTAAATCACTGGTTGGATCCCGCCACGTTTTTCCAAAAAGGACATGGATGATATTCCAGCGGAAAACAACCTTAAAACGGATCAACAACCTGCCTGCCAAAGTCGTGAACAATATAAATCTGACTAGCAATATGCTGTCGGTAAAATGTTTCTGTAACAGACACCATTGTTAAAGACGGTAATGCCATGATGACATGCTTTGCGGTACCATTGTTTTCAGAAAATTATCCTGAAATCACAAAGTTTGTCAATAACACGATTTTGTACAAAACTTGCTAACACCTGTTTATTATTTTACTGTAAGATGACGTTATTACTGGTGGAAGGCGATATACCCACTTTACCCAGGAGTGTATTCAATTTTCCCTGACCATGACATACTATGAGGGAAAAGTATATATGACTTAATTCAGTACTTTAATGACAAAAATAAATTCATATTTATGAGTAGTTATAAGCTTAACGTACATTTTATGAAGTAAAACTTGAATAAAATATATAAATAGTTCGCTCAGAGCTATTGCATGAAAAATTTTGCCTAATTCATACCCATTTTACACCGGGTGACCTTATCGCTACAGGGGCTGCGTCAAAAACTGTCGTTCGATTTGGAGCACATGCGTGGACACTCACCATGCCCATGTATGTGTTGATTTGCGGGTGCGTTTTGGCGGGCGTCGTCGACGACGGTACACGCGCATAGACACCAGCCAACTGGCGAAGCCATCTGCTCTAAATGCGCATCGAAGTACGCTGACATTCGGATTGAGTAAGCGTTCAGTGAATACAGTTGAAGGTCACTGGTCGCATGTACATCAGACCTTACTAGCAGCAGGCAAATCCTCATGTGGTAAATCCAATAGTCAACATGGACATAGGGTCTTTACGCAGTTTGTGAAACTTATGGATGCACACCGGCACATTCCGACTGGAGTTGAACACAAGGAGACTGGTAAGAACAGCAGGGCAAAACGCCGTGCTAGCCTGAGAGACCGCGAATCCTTGTGGTCTCATCGTGCGTCAGGAATGGAAGTGACCATTGCCCTTGGTAACCATCAGAAATTATTCCGTCTGATACGGGAAACGGGTCACGGAAGAACTGGTGTTAATGAAAAAAGTTATGGCGAGAGTGGACAGCCGAATCACAACTTGTCAAAATGCTTGGAGTGTTGGGCTGAGCACTTTGAAAGGCAATTTAGTCGGACAAAATTGTTAGATTTCTCACCGGCCAATGACCGCACTGCTCACTGGGCTGACCCTTTGGAAGTTGAACGCGAGATCAGACCGTTGAAGCTGAATAAAGCCGCGGGACTAAATGATCTTCCTCAAGCCCCCTCCGAATTTGGTGGCTCTGTTCTTGCTGATGATTTTCACAAATAACTCGTGAAACTGTGGGAGCAGCATACTGTCCTGACCGACTGAAACCGCTCCATTTTTGTTCGGATCTTAAAGGGAGCCTCACGTGCGGAATGCGGTAATCACAAAGGTCTTCGAGTACCCGCCATATGTCTGATCACCATCGCCCCTCAAGTGCTTGCCTCCGTCATTCTTCAGAATTTGATTACCAGTCGTGAAAGTCAGATTCGTGAGAAGCAAGCCGGGTTTCGTAGAGGTCGGGGCTGCAACGACCAGATATCCACATTGTGTCAGCTGTTGGAATACCGTCATATATATTATAGGCCCATCGTTGCCTTGTTCCTCGAAATCAACGGTGCCTTCGATTAGGTGGATAGATGTGAACCTTAAAACTGTCTGCTAAAGAAAAGAGTGCCTCAGAAATATTTAAATACTATCCCAGCGTTTTACGCGCGTAACTCATCAGAGTGAGGGTTCTCGGCAAGCTGTCGCCGCCCATCAATATCTTCAGCGGTGCAATACAAGGATGCCTCCTGTCACCTTTCCTCTTCAACTTCGCTATTTATGCAATCATGAAGATTGCGTTCACAGTGCACGAGTTAGATGGCGCGGAACTGCTCCAGGTGAGCGACTTCTTGACTCAAACTATGCTGATGACATTGACCTTATCTGTGACAGCTCACAAATGTGCAAAGCAGCACTGGACAGATTAACACTGGCTGTCAGCCGTTTCCGATATGCTTTGCTCCCTAAAAATGCGCAGTTTACCTCCAAGATTGGTAGGGACCGCCGGCTGCACGGACTTCTGGTAGGGAGCAACCAGAAGTCGTTCAAAGATTTAACTACCTCGGCAGTCGCATCACCGCCGTTGGAAATGAAGACGAAGTCTCAACAAGTATACCAAGAGCTCAGGGCGCTTTCGCTAACATTCGTCATCTATGGCGTCGGCGCGACATCACTCTCCCAGAAAAGTGGTGCACAATGCAGCCGTACCTTTGACCCAGTTGTACGGTTGTGAAACCTGATCCATTAAATCGGCAGACGAGAAGAGGCTAGTTACGTTCGGCTTATATCTTGTGAGAACACCGTATGAGCAATGAGCGTGTTCGACCCCCCGTTTATGGCACAGGAAGAAGAAGCAGTGAACCGCTCAGTACCGTGATTTCACGCACCAGGCTCTAATGGTTGGGCCACGTGTTGCGCATACCAACCCACCGACTCTCGAGACGTGCCTTGTATGCGCGCCAGGGGTGTGGATGGAAGAAGAGGAGGGGTGGCCAAGTTATGACTTGGTCAAGTGGAATGAAGGCCTTTAATTCGAAGTTGGACCCGGTTGGAGCCTCCTGGCTCCCTGGTTTGGGGGCGCAAAACGATGAACTCATCTGCTTGGATGTACTTGTTCATATGGCTAGGAGCAGACCTCACTGGCGTTCCTGTTGTAAGTTTCTTTGTAACCCCCTCCAACCAAGATCTCAATTTATATGCCTAATATAATAGTTCTTTTTGCGGCACAATAGCAGGCTGTCAGCTCTCCGGAATGACGTCCATCCGTTACTAGTGACACAGCCGCCGTGCCTTTGTCGCGTTGCTTCGTTTCTTTTCTCATGTACTGTGGGGCAATACTTGAGGTATCCACATCTAGCTAACGTGTGAAAAAAGTCAAGCTGGATTGTGAAACACACTAAGAAGTGAGCCGTGACCAGTCCGGTCACTGGCATTACGTTCCAAATGGACCACCGACCTGCAAAGGATCATTACACATAGTAGCCGCTTTGGACACTCGAGCACTGCATGACTCTGAGTCGTGAGAGCAACGAAACAAGAAACTGGTGCAAGCAACGTGGCTGATAAAACCGAAGCTACGTGACATCAGCAACAATGGCACAATAAAAACTGTAAAGTTAAACATAATTGATACTATCAACAAAACACTCATTCGAATGAAGTGATTTTATATGCATTCGCATATTGCACTTCTGAGGAAACGATTTACCACACTGTTCACATGTATAGGGGCGCAGTGCTGAATAAAGGAACAGAAAGTGTATAGTCACAGATAAAGCACAAGAGGAAATCACCCACGAAAGAGAATAGGAGCACAATCTTTACCGTGTAGCACAACCACGAGCATAAATAATGAACCAAGGGAATCGCCATGTAAATTAATCGCTGTTGGTGTAGCGGAACCTCGGGACTGGAAACCAATGGCTAATAGTGTGTGGTGCATATACTTAAACATCACTTCACTTCAACATAATGTCGCTGGCCAGATGTTCTACATTCTAGCACACTATAACTGGTAAATGATAATGAAAATGGAAGGCACCTCACCGGGACAATACCGGCAAGCAATGGGTAATGCAGCCGTCGCCGCAGCGGAGATGAAGTACGACACATGGTGAGACAAATAGCAGAATCCATTCCGCTAACATCTGATCGACCACAGGGTTTATCTCTCAGATCCAAACACACACTGCGATTAGCTATAACTAAGATACCCTTAGATGTTGACCATTCTTCATCTCCAGATGGCTAAGCACAACAAGTTTGTCGATTTGTCAATGCCACTGACCTAATGGGATCTCAACGCAACCGCGCACATGGAAACAATTTGGTTCCCATGCACCTGATTCTGTGTGAGGTAAGAAGTATTGTGGCTCCCTTTAACGTGAATCTTTCATCCGAACTCTGTGAGTGTCCTGGATCCCAATCAGACCTATGGCACTAACCAAACCCAATGTGCCCCATCAGGCACCAACATGATTCACTGCAAAAACTGCCAAGTCCATACTATGTTCACAATCATCAAACACGCCTGCGCTCCGAAAATTGGTTTCACCATCTTATCTGATCTATTGATAATCTTTTAACAATGTTGAACAGGGAACTGGATATACCGCATGACCGGCAGCGCCAATCGTCGTCCGATGATTTCTATCTCCAATTGTCGAAAACAAACCATCTCATCTATTGCTATGGACATCGCTGACACTGGTTATGCAACCAAGTTAAGTCATCCGAAATGATTTTTAGGTACCGGACAATCGATCAAGGTGCGTTTATAAGAATCCACTGAGGCCATCGCGATTCCACTGTACAAGCGTTCAGATACGGTTTGCTCAAACGTTAAGATGGCGTTGGCGCACTAAAACCGAGATGTTTAGAGCACGGAGCACGCGGGGGACTAGCTCAAGTTGATGATTAACCAAGTTATTGGTGAAACTGCGAGAGTACGAAACCGACTGGAACCGCGCCGTTATACTCCCGGTCATTGAGAGAGCATTCCGTTCGAAAAGTGGCAATCATCGAGGAAAGAGCCAGTCAAGGTAGTGGGAGTTAGCTGGAGTGACCGCTGGGTGAATAGAATGCGGTACACAGTCACAACAAGGACCTTGAATATCTATGAAGTGGATCTCGATCATCCCGGCCATACGATCCAACAAGTTCATCTGTTTTACAGCACAGTAGTCGATATGGGAATTGGACCACTTCGAACTTGGGTAGTGAGTTTCATAACACGAGAAGCATTGTGCATTGCTCGTTACACCAAAAATAAGCAATATGTCCGACCAGTTAAAAGAAAAAAGGAAATTAAATGACGTTAACAGCTATACACTCACCAGAATGTACGAAGTCGACATGTCTTCGCAAAACGCGTTTATCAGCAAACGATTTGCCGCAGAGTTCACATGAATGGGGCCGCTGATCTGGAAAGTGAACCATAAGATGATTAACTACGGAAAAAGTACGGTGAGAAAATGCAAACATAGTAATATATTACTATTGGTGCACATCAGCTGTGGCACACCAAGTCAGTAGTCGTAAGAAAAAGAAGCTAGGATTTGCTATGCGAAACAATGCACGACACCACGCAATAAGCGTATAACGAGAGACAGATACCTAGCAGATAGAATGTTACGCCTCCTTGGAAATGACGCGGAAGTGCTTAAAATTATGACGTGTCCATATCATCTGAACAGATTGTATGAGATTTCACTGGAACGATGAAAACATCCAGTAGAAGAAACAGTCGGCGCATAATGGTAACTACACCTCGTAAGTTCTACACAGAGCCTCTACTGTCAGCACCCGATTGGACGCCACGCATCATCTCGGATCCAGCCGTCCATCCCAATTAGTTACCCGGAATAAATCGTATCTTTCTAACCTCCTTTCGCCACCAAATTATTAACTACAGTGCGAATTACCGCTCCTAGCTGCCATCGCTGTCCCATACGCCTTGAAACGGCACGCAGCAGAATGACTAAAGTCAACTCCGACCGCACTGGCAGATTAGTGTCTCGTATCCATCGAACATTCACGGTTCGATGCACCCAAACCGTACGTACTGTGAAAACAGTACAATTTCCCCAGATAAGATCAGTCCAATCAAACAATCCCATAGCTGGTAACAGTGGTATTGAAGCCAGATCCAAAAATGTGACCGATACATGCACAAGACATCTCATGCTTTCGCTGGACAACGAGCAGGCTGAACACTAACGTACTGAGTGGAACTGACTTTTGAAAATCGCCTACGCACTTAGTGCGGGGTCAATAGGAGGCATTCATCGTGCAAATGAACTGCGACCCGCAAGTACGATCGGAAATGCGGATACGTGGACGCTCATCGAAAACCCGGTTGGTTTGTATCGATCATGGTAACAGAAGCGCTGGTCTTTCGTACCGCAGTCTAATTCTCTTGTACTTTAGAGGTGATGTACAATCCTTAAAAACCTACTGATAAGCCACTAAAAATGCTCGTTAGCTCTGTCAAAAAAGTAGGTCCGCCCTTACTACAAGGAAGAGACAGGAAGATCATGAAATGCTCGCCCATCCGAAAGCACTGTAAAACAAAAGGTGTATCCTATGCAAAATTAACCCGTCAATAAGGGTCAAGCATGCAAACGTAAAGCGACTACCAATCTATGTCTCTGAAACCCCTTAGTTCCTAATATCCATAAACGTGTCGCATGTAAATGTTCAGCAAACATTAGTGATCTTGTATACTCACAGAATCGTATTATTAGAGGAATAGTTAAATGAACAGAATGAAACAATTTCGTTGCTGGATTTCGTCGCGGACAGCCTGATTTCTGTTTCCAATTTAATTGACCCACCAGCTAAAGCGCAGGCACATGAATGGGACAATGAACTACTTTATGTAACGTCTGAGGTAAGTGAAAGATGCAAGCGTGTCAAAAATGCTATTACCCTCAACATGACGTAAGACATGAAGCTTGTTGTAAGCTTCCGTAATGCGATCGCAAAGACCTACCGTCCCATCAGACAGCAGAAAATGTGAGCCAAACGATATAAGAGGATCAGACGTTCCACAACAAACGAACTGGTTTGAAAAATCGACAGTCCCGCAAGAGAATAGAGAACTAAAACGTAAACAGATTACGATGCTTATTCGGATCAAAACTAGTGATATCAATTGCGCACGTACTCAAATGTACAGAGTTGATGTGGCGTTCCAAATGGCTCTTTTCGGCAAATGATTTGTCACAGTGCATACACGTATGGTCGCGGCGTTCTGAATTTGGGAATAGAAAGTGAGCAATTGCAAAGGAACTATACATGAAAAATATGCGCACAATATCAAACTATCAGTCAGATGGAGAGTTTGCAGATTGGGACACACGGATCTCAATGACGAACAACCAAATGAAACTGACTGCTAGTATCGTGTAGCGAGGGAAACCGAAATAGTGAGCGAGGTGCTAGCTGGCAGTTTCACGCGGCAGGCAGAGGTATGACCAGAGTAGCCAACAGGTCCCTATCACAGACTCTAAATATCATTCCGCATACGTGCTCCAAGAACATCGCTTAACACCGACTTGTCAGACACTGTGCAGGCATTTCAGTCAAGGCACACGTCATCTCAAGCTGTCAGGCACATTCGTTGCACAGTCTAAGGCAACCCTCTGGGATTACACCGACTTCCTTAAAACCAGCAGGATGCGTGACCCGACAGACTACTGTACTAGACAACCCATCGTCCGCTTTCATACTGTATCCCCCGTTCCAATGACTGGGTGTAAGATGTGGTGATCTGTCAATTGTTACGAGGTCCCAGAACACAATGTTGGTGAACTGGGGATCACGTTCACAAAGTAATTGAGCCGCCATTCCCAGCTGGGAGAAGCAATATCTCAGTTCATCGAGGATCACTTTCGTTGCCGTGTAGTTGCGCGGATCGTTAAGAAAAATTTCCTAATTAACCAACTGTAACAAAGTTTTCTGAAATAAATCCGTCTCCAAATCCAACTTCGGCTGCCTAATTGAACATAATCGGGAATACGTCATTCCATCAAACAGTATTGCCGCAGCATTCCCTGAAACAGCAATGTCTTTTTAACAAGACCGCGACATAGCGGATGTAAATCGTCGTTAAATAACGTCAGTACTCTTTGTCTCAAAACATGCAGAGCATTTTTATCCCAGCAGAACAGCAGTAACCGCCAACAGCACTCACGACCATAGAAGACCATTGAATTTTTTCGATCCGCCGATGGTGGACCAGCGGCACCGCGGTACCTGTATCGATCAGACACCGTCCCATCGTTCCGTATACTTCCACCATCGCTTCGATCGCCCCCGTACTCAGCGCCCCGAGTACACATTCCTCGATCCGAGAAGAAAAACAAGGTTGAATGCGTGTATTTGGTACATGGGCAGTAGCGCGCCTCACTGGACATTGCTTTTTCCAGTGTCCCGGTTTCCAGCAAAGGAAGCAACATCCCCTTGTTCGTTCCTCCGAGCGTGGAACGCAAAGCCCATTGACGTCTTCCGCAAGCTGTCCCATCATCCGTTCCACGTCCCCACGGTGTTTCTCTTTCAGCGCAGCGAGTGGTGCGTCGCCCAGCGCTAGAGTAACCCGCGCCAACTCCGCCAGCCGCATTCCCCGAGTAGCGTTCGCCAACCGGACGAGTCACGTGGTTGGCTGTGGAAGACCGGTCATGTACCGATCCACTAGTAATTGCTGTTTTGACGGTTCGGCCATTTCAGGCGAAGGGTCGGTTAAATAAGCTCCTGATGTGAACTGTAAACACGAGATGATTCTCCCTTACACCAAGCTGTGCCGCCCTGAGCCGCTCCATCGCCTCCTGGCTGTCGGCCGGGCTGTTCAATCCGGAGACCAACGTATCCTTCGCGGCTGCCCACTCCAACTTGACGTGGTCTCTTCGCGCCGCCTCCAGGACTGTCATCGCCCTGCGCTTGATGAAACTGCGCAGGGCCACCAGCATCGCCCGGTCTGTCTTGACACCAACCGTTTCAGTCACATCCTCGAAGTCCTCCAAGAAGATCCCCACGCCCAATTCTTAAAACGGCTCAGATCAGGGGATCTTCATGACGCACCTTGGTTGATCACGGCACCAAGGGAAGAACCCGAAGTGTAAGGGGAATTATTTATTGTGGCAAACATAGCTAATACTAGGTGCATCCGTTACGAGAAACGAGACATCCACTCATCTTCGCAGTCCCTGTTGAAGGTTGCATGGTGCGGGTTTCTTTCTGTGTCTAGGGGTTGTGTGGTGTGCATCGCTTGTACGTCCATTCCTCGAGTGCATACAAGTGTGGTTCTAAAGTGTTTCTCTCCTTTGGGGTAGTCATTGGCTGGTTGTCGTTACGAAGCCTGGCATTTCATCCCTATTGATAACTGGTGCAGTAGTGTCCGCCTTTAGTCCACCACAATACAATAGCAGATACACACAGTTTGGATAGTGTCGGCAGTGTATTGAGTGATAAAGCTGGGACCACGCTGCTGTAGTGGTTCCCAATTGAATGCGGACGGTATGCAAACCGGCTTCAGAGCCCAGAAAGAAGCAACCAACACTGTGGGGAGAATCAAACTTGTTTATGGTCTCCGCGTGTGCTTCAAAGGACTATAGCTGTGCATAAGTTAACGAAAATTTATGTCGCAGGTTCCAACAGCCATTGCGCATAACTGAAAATGCAGATATCGTCGTCGGAGATGCCAATGCTCTGGTAGGTTTCCCGCTGCCATGCAACAGTCATCTTGGTGAAGGTTACACTTTTGATGAGGGTAATTCCGGCACATCAAGTTATATGAGGATAAGCACCATTTCCTCTCGGGCAAGAAATTCAAGTACAACAACATATCTTCCCTCTTCACCGACGTAAGTGTGGTCACGGATCTATTACATTGCAACTAAATTCAGATGGTGTGGTAACACACGGGATTGCACATCGATCTGGTCCACCTACGTCGACACAGATCATGCGTTAGTCATGGTGAGTATCTACCTGCGTACTCGTGTTTCCTCGAAAGAGAGACATAGTACACCAGATATCAGCAAACTAGATGATCCACTGATCCAGCTGAGTTACCAATCTTACTTATCAACTGCGTTCACCAGTGCTTCAGAGCAAAATGGCGGGCAGCAGTAGAGCTTCATGCAAAAAGCGATGCTCCCATCCTGCCAATCACTTGAGGGGAGGGGGGGCAACTATCGTACTCTTAGAAGCTGGATCTGAACTCCTCACTGAAAATGTTTGACAGACACCAATATACACAAGCTGTATTCAAATAGCATTGAAATACACAGCGATTTCAGCCACTAACCCAGGAAAACCCTGCGTATTGAGGGCGAAACGTGGCGGTCTGTACGCGATTCATAGTTGGAGATAACCACTCATTCACAGGCCCTTCCAGATTATGCGGACCACTGGCCACAGACGACCTAGCATCAAGGAGGATAGCTGCAAAGGTAATAGAACAAAGGCCACCAAGTTGCGAAGGCGCCCTTCGATCCAAAATCACCTAACGTCCGTCGTTCGCCTGTCCAACAAGTACACCTTGTAAGGTTTCAATGGAACCACTCACCAAAGGCATTTGTACTGAATGAAGACCCCGGAGATATTCCAGTGTAATGATGAGACAGTGGTCAACCATCAAGCAGCTCCGGTTACCAACATTTGGTGTACAGATTAGGTTCAATGTTCTTGCGGTGAGTCGATTATCGTCCAAGTCTTCAAGAAAAGCTCACGTACGGTATGGGTCAACCAAAAAAAATTAGCCCCAACGACGTTTGCCTCCAAATACTTGGCATCGCTTTTAATTCGTAAACTAACCCCAAGAGGAGAAAAAGACCGCCCTCAAGTACAACATGGATTGCGCCAAGCACGAGGGTGTGTGGAACGCAAGCTTCCGGTCCAGTAATTGGTTTCGTATTGCCGCATTCACCACCGGTGTACCACCAGCCATAGGTGGTGTTTCATTTGACCCACAAAATGAGGCATTGTTCCAACTGTGATTCGGCCTTCGTGCGTCGTAAATGAACTCTGAGAGGTCCGCTCCGTCTTTTCTTGTCTGCTCCCGCGGGTGGTTGGGAATCGCGTGGTCACGTGGTGATCATGTGCGCACCTCTAGTGGTAGCGGAGAAGTATTCCACACTGCGAACTTTGGACTGCACGCGGTAGATCAGAGAACAGCGGGCCTTCAAATTTAAAATAGTGATACCACGGATTTCCGCTTAACGGCAAAGTATATGAGCAATTTTATGCCGTAAGTGACCATTAAACCTCCCGTTAAACCTCATAAACCAGAAGATGCGGGACATTAAGTGATTACTCCGTGTGAACATTATAATTAATAAAGGCTAGGTAAGCAATGTGGCAGCTTGCTAAGGTCTTACGAGCACGAAATGAAGGAAAACTGGCACGCAAATAAATCTCGTAAGCAATGTTGCGCAAACGTGTGTCTTGGTGTTCCATCCTAACCTAGAATACAGTGCAAGAATGACGTTGGAATGCAGATGCCTACCTGTAGTGGTACAAGCGTATAGCCCTTACAAAATTTAAAAAATTTATAGTTCCAATTTTAGTATATGTACCGCCGGAGCGAGTACGAAAGGTCGTACAACCCGGCCGCACGGGCGACGATCTGCAACGTTACCACTAGGCTATATTCGGGTTGTACCTACGGCTTATATGTTGGCTGAAAAAATCAAAGTTCCTCACACTGTTTTAAGTTAGTATAGGTTAATAAAGCTGCATAAGAGAATTTCAGCATTTATTCCGACAGCTTTTGCATAATTAGGTCGCTAGAGGCCGTAGAAGAATTGTCCACTAGCACCTCTAGTCGCGTGTTCCGTGTGCCTTTAACTCTCGCGTCTTGTCCCCCGGTCGTGTGCGTGTCGTTGTTCGTTTATGGGGACTCAGCGTGCAATACGAATACGTGCGTGAATAGGGACCGTACTCACGTTGCGCGTAACTCTCGTCGAAGCTAAGGCGACCAGGTCTACGCAAAACTGTTACATGCAAATATAGAACTGAGTACAAGTATAATGACGTTCTTCGAAGTGTATTACAAGTTCACGAGCAGGGCAAGAGCCTAAGGCAAGCTCTCGACACCCTTCACCGTAACCAGCGGAGCAAGATAGGGTTCCGCATGCTACGTCAAGTTTGTGGATGAAAATAGTCTATTAAGCGCTCTGGAGGATTTCCAGAGATTCTTCCAAGCGACCGTACGAATGACCTTGCGTATCATAACGACGCCGTCTTGATCGG